TGTGCCAAAGGTCACTGCCTGCTGCTGCTGCTGCTGCTGCTGCTGCTGCTGCTGCTGCTTTCTCTCCTCCCTCAACATGCAGTTTGTCTGACCTGGTTCGAGCTGAGATCCCCCATAATCCAGCCGACCTGTCCAGACCACAAGACTCTCTCTCCATGGGTCCTCCTCACTTTATTTACAGAGTAAGCAGAGGTAGCCCGGAGAGGACTGGAGGCATGTACACAAACCCCCTGACACATACAGTATACATAAACACATTCATGCACAAAAATATGAAAGGAAAGAAGTTGTCATTGGGACAGTAAGAGTGGACTTTAACACTACGATCCTGTTTAGTCAAGTTTGTCCATACAGCCTCACCATAAGCATGGAAAGGCTTTGCAACAGAAATCCACCGCGACACGAACCAATCAATCCGAAAGAAGGGATGAAAACAACATCAAATAGTAGAAACATTTAAAAGTCCAATTCAAATGAAGATTGTATTACAGTGATTATCCAGCAAAACATATTTCAGGCTTGATCTGGATCTTGATACACAGATTGAAGGCAGGGCACACCTTTACAATCTGTATGAGAGTGACATCATGCTCCTGATATGAATTCATCAATCATAAAAAAGTTATGTGATCAATATCAGAGGTCATATCTGGGGCGCGGAGAGACCCTCCCAAACTTTCCATGTGGAGACAGAAATGTGTTCTGGGTTATTCTGGGAGGAGGCCAGATCCAGGAATTCGTTTCACTTAATTAATCACACATATGTGTTTATTACTATGGGCTGCTCAGCCCTCCTGAATGTCCCAAATAAGCTAAATAAGTATGTGTAAAAGGAATAAGGAACAACGTAAACATCAAAAACCTTTGCCTGCATCGAAGAAAAACAATAGTAATGTGGAAGCTCACTTTGTAGAATATAAAAGAAAATATAAAATGTGTTTCACATCATTTATAATAACGTTACCATCTTTTTTCCACGTAAAAGAAACATATAAATAGGAGTCACAATTTGAGAAATGGGATTAAAAGTCATCTTTACTGCACAGCATACAGAATATTTGTAATCCCTATGGACAAAGGAGTCTTTGAGGATTCTGTAAATACGTTTAGAAATGCATTTAATGTTGTCAAACACCCACTGGTTTTTTGAAAGATTGCCAAGAAAACAGATTCTTAGCTCTGTGGCTTAGTTTGTTATGATAATACTTGAGAGGCACAAACTGGGGCTATGCACTTCTGCACAATGCTGAATTGTGTAATGGGACATTAGGATAAGTAACACTTGGCTGTAGAACAAGCCTCAAATCTTGGGTTGTTTCTCCAGTTATGTAATGACATACCTAGAATGAAATTACTCAGAAGTGGACTGAATCAAATTCAAAGAGACGCCAAGTCCAGTTGGTATTTACTGGGCCTTCTCTACAGGTACATAATGTCATCCCTGTAGGGTGCAGATATGGGAAAAATCCACAAAATATAGACAGCACCGGCTGAATCACAAGAACAGGTTGATCTTTTGAGAGTGGCTCCAAATTCAAGTTAGGGTGGAGGGCTCAATGGAGTAATTACATAACACAAAGAAACCCCTCTCTGTCTCTGTCAAGTTACCCAAGACTGGGCTCCTTTCATGCAGCAAGGGAACATGGTGACCGGAGAGAGAGAGGGACGATGGAGTCTGCCCACCCCTTTCATAGACTCAGAACAAACACTCACTATTGTCTCTTTCGTGGTTTGTATGCATTTGTCTTCACCCATGGTTATGTGTTCCTAAAGTTCAATGAAGCTCAGCGAGGTCAACCGCCTTTACAAGTCCCAGGATGACCCTCTGTCTCGGCATGCTGACCGTACATGCAGGATTGCACAGGTAAGTGATTTTGACCCTCATATGTTCACCCTAATAGATCCCTACACAAAGACACCATGTGGGAACCAGACCTTTACCCGCACATAGAACCCTATTTTCAGCCTGACCCTGTGACCTTTAGGACTCCGAAATATTGGGGCAACATAGCAAGGCAAACATTCAAACCCACAAGCCTATTCCTATAACTGTGTGAATACAGCTTGACCTGCATATTCACAGCGTGCCTTGAAAAACAAGCAACGACTCAGATTGCAAAAAAAGGCAAATGAGGTAACAGCCAGGAGCGGAGGACGGCATGTGGCCTTAGATGACGTTTCTTCTGAACTCTATTTTACCATGTGCAACTATTATTGCAAGAAAGAAAGAAAAATAATCGACCTTTTTGGAAAACCACTTCTATGACAAGATAAGATATACTTTATTAATCCTAAATTGGCAAATGTTTTCGTTGAAGCAGCATGTAAAACAAACATTGCATATTATATAAAATAAACAGTTGTACAATATAATGTGCTTTCTTGCCAAGAATAAGATGGGGGGAAAACTGTCTAAACCACTCTATTTGAACATTATTTATAAGGAAACAACCATTATCACGTAACCCTAGATAAGCATAAAACATTTAAACTATGAGAAAGAACTAGCCTAGCTCTGTCCTATAAAAAAAGATGTATTTTGGGGTACTGATGCCTTGTTGTAAAAACAAAGTGTTTTTTTTAATGGATTCAACAATGTTAATTAAGGAGACATCTTTATGTTTTGGGCAGTTCCAATATAAAAAGGAAAAGTGTTTTTCTCCCAAGTTTGTGTAAGCATGTCATACGCATTAGCCCTATTTTTGTACTAGGACATATTAATTAGGGTTGCAAAGGGGCGGAAAGTTTCCGGTAAATTTCCATGGGAAGTTAAGCTGGGGAATTTTGGAAATATTCATTGCAAAATTAAACAAAAAAACATGACATTTCAACAGATTTTTTTTTTCTTTTTCTTTTTTTAAGTAGAATAGAACAAGTTTGAATTATTTTATTGAACAATTATTTGTTTCATTGAAGAACGAAAACAGGAATGTTGAGTTACTTAAATATTACTCATTCCCCCCCAACCCCACTCATTAAAAAAATGAACAAAAATGCACCCCCCATCCAAAGATCCCCACAAAGTTCCATTCAAAATGTTAAATGAAAAGAGCCCTTCTCCCTCCAAATAGTCCCATTAAACATGCAAATCTTCCTTCAAGCAATCCTCTGCATTTTGGCTAAACCCTTTCAGTCAACGGGCTCGTCCTGGGCCTCATCAACATCCAACTCTGAGTCTTCCTCTTCAGTGTCACTGTCCAGCCTTGTTGAGGATGGCTCTGTGTCCGGCTCAAAGAGCCTAGGTTTGCCCGAATGCCAACCAATTTTTCCACTCTCACATTTGTGAGCCTGTTGCAAACCTTTGTGTGGTCTCAATAGCCATGCATTAAGCAGTGTGCTATGGCATGGATATTCAAGTACTTGAATGGCATCTGTTTGTTTTAGTCAAGATTATGCTACAATATACTTTCCCCAACTATATTTGAGTTCCCTATGAAGAGCCAACCTTCAATTTTGAAAGATCCCAGTTTATTCCCATAAATTCCCATTTATTCCCATGGAAAGTTTCCATCTTTGAAAATTCCCGGAATTTTGCAACCCTAATATTAATAAAGGCTTTTTTTAACCAGTGTGCCTGAAATGTATTTGTTTTAATTAAGCACTCTACCCACGGACATTCCCCTTTTATACAAAAATATAATTGGATTTAATTTCCAATAAGAAATGTGCAGAATATTATACACATTGGGCAAAAACATGGTTCCAGGCCATCTCAAAGCCATGAGAGTATTAAGAGACATTATTCTCACTAGGCAGGGGGCTTCCTCTTCAAGAGGAGGGGGTCGCCATGAGGAAAGCACTGTCTGTGCTTTCAAAGATTGTCTTTAATCAGCGGATCTGCCGGAATTAGAGGTCTGTCTGAGCCCAAGCCCCCTCCCTTACCCCCTTCCATCCCTGACAACATGAGAAAGGTGTGTGTGTGTTTGTGGGTGAGCTGGTCAGGGGGGTGTTCAACTGTGGGACCAGAACAACATGAGCTGCCCCATTGGGCTCATAAATGCACCCTGGCAAGTCCATAGCAAATGCAGCTTAGCATAATTCAAAAATACCAGACGGTGTGTGTACTGCGGAGCACTGTTAAACCTGCAAAGCAGCTTTCTCCCTCTCATCTCTCCCTGCCCCTCTCCTGCATCTTCCAAAAACACTTCCGCACAAACAGGAATTAATGCCGCTGCCAAACAGTCTATTTCCTCAGAATAACACCATGGCAGGCCATCAAAAATTGTCAGGCTTAATTTTGTTGATTATAAGAGGACTCATTAAGGACAACAGGCCACAGCTTAAACCACGCTACAGGCTGGACTAATATTTGTTTTTGTTCTCTGCAAGGGGTAATTTTGACTTACAAAATCTATTAAATGAAAACTGTTTACACAATTGTTAATCATAAAAATATTCATCATGAATAAGAATGTATTTAAAGGCTGGTCTACTTCTTTCGGGGTTTATCAGTGTTAGCACAGATCAGTCAATAAGGCTGGCTCAGAAAGAATTAAAAACAGCATGCATACAAAATCAAATGTAGCTACATGCTGTGACCTGAATCCAAATTGCACCCGACCAACACATCTGCAATACACCCTAAAAAACTGCGTGGCATACAGATATTGCTGACACTGATGTTAGAAGGCCGTACATATTCCATGTAATGCTACACCCATCTTATACCTGTGTAAATATTCTCTGTGCACGTATGCATGTAGTGGAGGGCTGGATTGGCAAATGCTTGGCTCTTCTAGTGTTTGAGTGTTAATGAGTTCATGGTCTCTCATCGTGCCATTGAATGTAATCCACTTGACTAAACATGCATTGGGTTTCATAGACGCCCTGACTCAGCCACAATGTTTGCAATGCTTATGAAGGGGTGAGGAGAGGACTAGATGGCAGCCGAACAATACCTTAGGCACTAGTGTCAAAGGACATATGACAGCCTGGTGCAGCTCAAAGCAACATAGAACAGGAAGCTGACCGTGTCATTGTTTTCTGTATGAATCTCCTACCTGGACGCCCTGTAGAATCCGGACGCATTGCTCCTTGACGTCATCGAAGGGACAGCGCTTGGTCAGCATGAGAAGGTGAGCCAGGATGTCATTCAGGTCACTTTTAAGAGGGCTTTTCGATGCTGGAGCCAATGTTGTAATGGGTCTGATGGTTTCCACTCTCCTCATGACGTCCTGGCGGATGTTCTCCATGGCTTCAGTTCTGGAGATGGCATCCCGGCTGCCGAGCCCTTCCCATCGCCCCAGAGACTCCCGATCCTGCACTTCCATCTTTGGATGTAGGATTAACGTTTGTGCTGTTTTACAAAAGGCTGTGCAAAAAATAAGACATTAAATTGTTTACATCACAGGATGAACAAAACTATCTTTAAGGATGTTTATAAAAAGGCATGCACATGTAATGTCATTCAGTGTCAAACATCAACACACTGACATCACACTAAATCCAAATGTATAGATACCACCAGGGTATAAATATTTATTTTCAAAGGGAATATTTAATTAAAAAACCTGGCCATTCATACCATGTTTTGTTATCTGATTTGTTGACTGTCAATCATGGGTATTTACCACAAAAAGACAGGCTCTGGCATAAATACAGCATATTGAAAATACAAATGTTTGGTCGGATACCAAATTCCAAAAAAACAAGCCGGATAAACATACGTTATATTGATGTTACAAGCCACCATTATGATGAATTAAAGAATAATTGCACATACTTTTTTAAAACAACAATGAATTGAGGTTGTTTTAACTTGTCAGTTAGAGAGTCCATTCAATCTCTCTTTTCTTCCTTTCGTGTCAAGGTTTTCAAGCAGCCCGTTAACAAAGACAGCAGTAAAAGTACACAAGAACCACGGTCAAAACAACATTCCTACACATCAACCTTTCACTGTGAGTCAAAAACAAAAAGTGTCATTCTCAAATACTCACTTTATCCACATTCTTTGGTGCAGGTCTTCTGTTACGGGGCGCCTTGCAGCCACAGCACAGTGACAAGTAACGTTAGTCCCAGGGTAAAAACGACAGGAGGCAACAACTATATGGTAAACATTTGATTGGCAGAACAGGATGTTCAATGAGAGGAGACCCTTGGAATTATAGGGCGGCACCTTGTGACATTCTGACAAATGATTGGTTGAAAATGTCTTTCCAGCTAGCGGGGGAAGGTTTTATGGGAGTTGAGTTCTCTTCGTTCGAGGTGTCTTGTGGATGGTGGCACTTAAGAACTACATCTCCCGTCATACATTTCGCGGGCAGCAGCACCCCCCCCTTTCTTGTTTATCAGAACATACTGAGAGAGAGACTGATAGAGAGAGGGAGATATGTTGTTGTGGTACATTTCCATTCATATGATAATTACCCTCATTTGTGTTTAACTAAACCAGAGTATCTTAAATGTGTTTTTCAGCAAACGATGTATACAAGACAGAGAATATACCATGGACCCCTTCATTGGGCCTATGTGTCCCTTGAATACATTTAAAACATATAGTCTCAGTACTGTGAAATATCAACAAAAAAGAAATGATTAGAAAGATATAAGAAGTGTCTTGAAAAGATTTGCAACATCTAACAGAATACCCATAAAAATGCATTCACACAATTTAATTAGATGAAAGTAACCCCTGACCTAAACACAATATCAAAGGCAAATCAAGAAAAAATTGCTTATTTGAAATGCATTTCAGAACACACACACACACACACACACACACACACACACACACACACACACGCACACACGCACACGCACGCACGCACACACACACACACACACACACAAACTCACAAAGGAGAACATGTTTAACTCTTCGTGCATATATAGTCTTAAACACATGACTACAGTATTTAAAATAATATACAATATGTGAGATTAGATGTGAACTATGAAGAAGTATTTTAGATTTAAAATGTATATATTTATCGTTGAACTATAATGCCTTTTTAAAAAACATTCAACAAATATTTTTATTTCATCCAAATATAAAATAGTTAATCAAATGTATCACAGACAGGTAAAATCATCTGTAAGAAGTTAAAATTGGATACAGATGCCATGCAAGTTTTTGTTATCGACAAGGGTGATTTTCTGCAAGACGAGGAAACAGAAAACTTTGAAAAACATTGCTCAAACCTGCAGAGGAACGGAAATACAGAACCAGAGTTACAGAAAAATATGTATTTCTCCTGGTGCAGCATCTATGCCTTTAGCTGCAGCAGGCTATTTGCATAATTCTGTGCAAATGTTTACTGGATGACTAAGTAATTTACTGGCCAAAGGCACTTTACTAACCAACAATCATAAATGATTTTGAATTGCTTCAACAACGCTCAACTATTATGTTGTTGTTGTTGTAGTTGTTGTAGTTGTTGTTGTTGTTGTTGTTGTTGTTGAGAATGATGACATCTCAGCATAACATTTGGATTTCAACTTCCTATTTTGAGGGGTTCTTTCTTAAACACTTATTTTAATCCAGGCTCTCACTGCAGACACTGAGGTCATGTCCTGAGATGTGTGTTTATGTGGTAGAGAACATGGTCACATTTGCCATGTTTTAGTTCAAATGAACACTGGATAATATACAATAGCCTACTATGTCGACCTCAACTTTAGGGGGATTGCTTTCTCCATGTACACTTAACATCTTTCTCTAAAAAGTAAGGCTTTTAGTTTTTCTTTTTCAGCATTGTTTCTAGAAATTGTCTAAAAGACTTGTTCTTTTCCATAAATGCTGCATGTGACTGATATATATCCTAGCTATAGCCATGTTTTACTTCTGCCAAAGGTTTTTGCAAGGTTTTCGATTTAGGTTTGGGTAAGGGTATTATTATAAACACAATGGGCTTTCACGACATTTAATCTCAAACATATATTTTCTGCAAGCATCCTTAGGAGAGTTGCCAGTTTGAATCAGTGCCAAATGCCTGAAGGCCAAGAATTGTTTGTTTATGGTGGAAGGTGACTACTTTCGGATGTATTGTAATAACGTATCATGGTGTCTTTATCAGATATCTTTAATATACAGTCTGTGATAATCTTGTATAAAAAGAATGAGACACTGGAACGGGACGTCGTTAAGGATGCAAACAGGGAAAGCGGAACCAATGTGATGAAGGCGGCAAAGAGGAGGGAAATTTAAAAAGTGCGGACTGCATGTCGGTGACAGCAGAACAACTGAGTGGCTTGAATAAATCAGTCAGCTTGCAACATAAAAACCAAGCAGTCGAAGAATATGATTACTATATATAGACATATGATTCTTGTGTAGGGACTAGACACCTCAATGTCACCAAATGGAGACTTATCACAACCAGGTAACGAATCGTCCGTTAGCTGCGGTTGTTGCTAACAAATTAGCTCTAACATTGTTTACTTTCGCCAAACCGGCGTTAGCTGCTAATTTTAGGTTATCGGAAAAAGCTTTTCTACTGATTTTGTTGGGTACGTTTATCGAGCTTCGCTTACAAGAGGGTGGTTGCAAAGGGCTTTACTGATTTTTGATAAGATAACTTATTATCGAAGTGTTATTTGGAAACAGAACGGTTGGTTTTAGCTTCCGTAATGTTAACGTTTGCAGAAAGCTTGGATTACGTTAGTTATACATGCTCTTAGACCTCATCTTGGGCTCTGGGAACTTTTAATAGGCACTCATTAATAGCTTGTTTTGTATTGACCTAACAGTTATTCGTTGATTAACCTTCTACCTTTTTGTCTGTAGACATTGGACTCACCCTCCAAAAACAGTTACATTGGGAGCTATTACCAGCCTCCAGACCGGATGCGACCACTAGCAAGACAGCTGGAGTTTCAGGTTCCCTCATCAATCTGCATGGACCCACAGATAACCAGCCCTCGAGGGTCTCATACCAAAGCTAATATTGACAGCACAGGTATGGGAAATACATTTTTCTGTAGCTACCTTGTACAATGAGTTATATTTATATCCACCTTCCACAATTGTAAGTCCACCTTTATTTCTTTCAGCTGTTGTTGATGCACTGAAGACCCTCCAGGAGAAAATCAGGCGATTGGAGCTGGAGAGGAAGCAAGCAGAAAAGAGCTATAGTCAATATTCCCACGATGTTCAGAAGCATCAACAGGTCACGGCATCAGTACCCAGTCAAACAGCAGCAAGCGTGCCTGAGACAGAAAACTCTGGCAGGAAAGGTAAGTGATGAAGGCGTCAGAGAGAATGGCCACGGCAAATGCAACGTTTTTTTCTGTGTTTGTAATAGTTGTATCTGTTTTCATGATAACAGAGTTGGACTCAAAGCTGCAGTCTGCAGAGGCTCGGTGTAAGGTTCTTGAGAAGCAGCTGGACTACATGAGGAAGATGGTTGAAAACGCTAAGAAGGAGAGGTATGCCCTAAAGGAGAATCAGGTAATTAAAACATTCAACTAATACTTTTTTTTTAAAAATAGCTTTCATACAGGCATGAAGCGCGATTTGCAGAGCCAAGCTAAAACAGCACAGACCAAAATAACCACTAAGGCTCTTAAGTAAAAAAACAGGCTTAATATTATATAGAGAAATATAGTGTGGAAAACAGAGTCAATATCTTTCAAACAAGATTTGAATAACTCTTTTAGGTGAGGTAGAGGTACCAAACGTTTGTAAAGTCATAATCTGTGTTTTATGAATTCCTATCATTTCTGGATGTATATTACTACGTCTATATATCTCTGTTTACTCCCGCTCAAGGCTTCACTGCAGAAACAGCGGCCAAGCAGCTCAATCTCCCAATCTCAGCGTGAGAAGCTGGAGAAACTAGAATCAGAGTGTATCAAATTGAGTCGGACCCAAACTCTGGCAGAGGTAATTCACAGTTTTACCATTTTGTCTAAACACTGATCATTAGAAGCTGAATGATAAGATTATTATTTGAATGCAATTTCTCTCTTTCAGGCAAAGCTTGCCATTCTGGAGCAAAAACTCCTGCATGAAGAGCATGAGCGTAAACTTGTGCAAGTGAAAGCAGACGAGGTTAGTCCACACACACTTCACTTTTTCAATCAGCTAAACAAATTTGCAAATTTCTTTGCTCAAAAGGCAGAACAAGTTAGCAATAGTTTAAAAAAATACAATCATAAAATACTGTATGTCTAGTGGCTTTTAAGTTACACTATCTAATAATGGTTAAATAACAACACAACCTTAAAAAGACTGACTTTAATGTGTTGCCACTATTGCCACCTCCTCAGCTGCAGAAGGAATTGAACACCAACTTGCGATTATCTCTGCCAACAACTGAAGAAATAAAGCCAAAGAAGAAAACAAAAAAGACCACCAAGGTAGCATTTTTACAGATAAACTCAATAACTGCCTGTATTCATCTTATGAGAAAAAAAGTTGTTTACACATAGTAATGATAACAGCTGTCTTATATCTCCAGAATATCTCCACAGAGAAAGAGCTGGCATCACCAAGCGGCCCAAGGCACAAAATAATGCCCTTTGTTGCAGGAACGGTAAGTCAGTTCTGATGCTCTGCAATAACAAACCACGTATTATAATGTTCTTCCTTTTTTTGTATTGAATTGAATTTGATTTTCTATTCCTGTTGCAGTCGACCAGCCCGAGCCATTCAGTCCACGCCAACATACAGAGTATCCTTCACATGATGAAGCACCATCAGCCCCAGCTGTGTGAACGAGTGAGCGCTCTGCAAAGGTCTGGTTGTGCGGCCAAGAAAAGCCTCCAAAAGGACTTCTCTCCATCTTCCACCACCTGTAACAAGCCGGACAGGGACCCCCAACGAGCGCATGAGTCACTTGGCTCGCTGTCTGACCTGCTGCTCGCTCTGCAGGACGAGCTAGGACAAATGAGCTTGTAAGTAAGCTTTTTTTGTTATGCTGTTTAACATTTTCTTTTACACATTTGGTAATCTGTGTGCTTTTGTTGTCAGTGAGCATCAGGAGCTGGTGCATCAGATAGATGCAATGCAACATGGCGAGCAGATGCAGGATCTGCAGAGAGAACTGGAGAGGCTGGTCGCCAGGATGGAGGAGAAGGGAACTCAGATCACTAAACTCCGCAAACACCAGCAGACGGTAAACCATAACTCACCACAACACAGAGGCAGGCTTGGTAGATATGTGAAAGTCTTGTATGCCAACAGAAATGTAAATATGTCCAGTATTGGTTTTAATGCCAATTTCTTTTAAAAGTCTGATCTGCCGATTCAGATTTTCTTTCTTTCCATGAAATTCAATTTGTGTTAAAAAAAAATATTGACTAGAGACCATATCACTGTAAACATGAACAATGAGCAAATTCGCAAAAGCAAATGTTTTATTTCACGTACTGAGTAGCTGTTCACGGTCATGACCAATTAGCTGTCAATCGACCTTGTAGTTCCAGTAATCCAAAATTCGATCCACAGGTAGCAAATAAGTTTGACTCGGACAAGATACGTCTCAGGATAGTTTGTTTGACTCTTTACTTAAACAAAAAGGAATCAAATACAAACACATATTTTCTCAGGTCAAAAAACGATGTTGCTCTGTGCTTCTTTCTCCTTCTCACACACGCCAATCACCAGCAGCTGCCGTCGGCTATAACGTCTCGTAATCACGAACAGCTAAATCTCTCCGGTCAAAGCGTCCGGTCAAAATATATTTCCCTTAGCGCAATACCGCATCAGTTGCGCAACTTGCGCCACTTATGTGACAGACAAAAGAGTATGTGACAGACAAGAATAGTCAATTCTAATGTCTAACACTTAATGTGGAGAAAGAGATGTCCTGTATGGGTTAATTGTGCGTTGATCTTTTGGTAATGCCTCGGGGTTCCGGTGGGCATGTAAACAAATGCATAATGCTGCGCTATACTTTATGGCCTCACCCGGTTGCATAGCGACGCTTATTGTTTAGGTGTCTTTTAATAAGCAGGTAGTCATATCATTAGCTAGAACTAGCTAGATCTGATCGATATGGACATAAACGCGAGTAAAGTCTAATCTGACGGGAGAGAGAGATCAGCTGCTGCTGACGAGTCGACACGCAGCTCTGCATGATCACATGCAGCGGTGAGCGGAACAAAACACACACTTCAGGTTAGAATATCACACGTAGCTATTTTAATTACCTCTCAAACCATCTAAACTAGTTATAGATATGTTTAGTTTTACTGTCGGGTCACTCATTACTGATCCGCGAGCTGCTGGCATAATAGATTGCCCGATCGGGCAACCAGCAGGTGAGGCTTCATTGCCCGAGCTAAATACTAGATGGCCCCGGGCCATCGGGCAGTCCGTAATGTCGAGCCCTGAAGAGTTATGGAAATAGTAGAGCTCANATAGATATGTTTAGTTTTACTGTCGAGTCACTCATTACTGATCCGCGAGCTGCATGATACTGACAGGCTGTCAGGAGAAGGAGAGAACGCTCCGTTTATTATTCCTGTGTTATTGTAAATTATTGTACACTTTTGAATAGTTCATCTAATATTATTAGTTTGTTTAATATCGAATCATATCAATTTGTTTTAAAGCTCAATAAATAACAAAGAAGACCTTTGACCAGCACTTTTCAAATTGTGTCCGGAAGATTTAAACTTTTAAAGGACATGTTGACCGGCGAAAAAATATTCTAATGGGAACTCTGATAATAGCACTAACAACAAAGGATTATAATATTCAAATATATCAAACTATACATTTTAACATATGGCTCCTACAGACCTGTTGGTGCATATGTATTTGTAGTGTCAGCTGACCTCCATCCCTAACTCTGTAGGTATCTAATGTTTCCTGTCTTTGGCTCCTGCACAGGTCCACAAATTGACCCATCCTGGGGCTGAGGATCCTACAACCACTAAGCCAAGTAGCATCAGGCCTCCTGTTCCCTCTCCTGTGAAGGCTCAGAAGAAAGGAAAGAAAAGCAGGCCCACTAACAACAACCTGCAGCTTCTTAGAGAAACCCAGAAGTTCAGAAACAAACTAAAACAGGACGACCTCTGCTGGGAAACATGAGGCTCTCTGAGAGACCTTTCTGTGTGCAGGCTTTGATGCTACAGCTGGTTGGACCACAACACTCCCATGGTTCCTTGTGGTCTGTTTTCCCTTCTCTTCAAATGGCCTCCTGGATATTTTTTTAGTAACAACTGAAACGAGGGAATAAAGTGTTTTTGTGTTTCCCACAGGACTTGATAATGTTTTTCTCCTTAAACCTGTTAATCAATGGGTGATGGACTTAAATGAAGTAATGCACATACATGGGTAGATAGTGTATAGTTTATAATTAATGAGCATGATATCTCCAATGAAGCTGGAGTAATCTATTTGAATTTAAATCATTTTAATAAAGCCTTTGCTGTCAATATAGTAAGTCAAATCTTTTCTCATGTTGCTTCTGCCAACACAAATGTTTTTCTATAACTGCTTCATTGCTTTAACCTCACACTAGGGGGCAGTGCTCAGCCATATGTCAATGTTACAAATGTGAGGGATTACACCACACTGTACAGTTTCATGCATAATAAAATAACTTAAGGATGTATGGGCGCAGCAGCAAGATCCTAGTGTCCTTAACAGTGTGTAATAGAGATGGAGCAACTTTGTTTACTCTGTTATAGCAACTGGTTGGACAGCTGAGTAAATATAGCCCTGGCCACTTGACAAACGGATGTGGTTTCTGATCGAGGTGCACGAGTGGAAGGAACAGCTTCTTGCCACAGGATTGTGCAAATTCACACTGCCAGAACAGTCACATTTCTGTTTATATTCAAATGATGGCTATTACTCTTTTGGTCACAAGTTCCTGGTTGGCCTTGCTATTTTGCTTTTTTGAGTCAGCCATCTTTTTATGCAATGAATATGTGAAGCTGCATCATAACATTCTTGCATTATCTCCTTGTTATCAGGCCTGTCAACATTTTTATTAGGTCACAATTTTGAATTATGAACTTCAAAGCTTGTAAAGTCACTCCTTATCCAAACCACAGATTCCAGTGTTTTTTTTTGGTGAGAAATTGTTGTGATAAAAAGACTTTATTTAAAACAGTGCAACACCCATAACTTCCCTGTCCAAGGTTCTGGGTCATGGGAGTACAAAACAGCTGATTGTTTTTGCCCTCAGCATTTCAGTGCGTTATCTAGCTAAAATGGATTGGTCCTGGTATTCTTGGCATGACTGAGTTCATGGCATGGCCTAATGGACTGAGCTGAGAGAGACTAAACCTATTGCATTGTTTTCCTGCGCTCCAATATTAGATTACAGAGCATGACTGGACACAGAAATCAGGTTAGCCGAGGCAAGTCCAGAGCCCTCATTGCCCACAAACAGCATTTCTCCTGACCCTGCAGCCATGATAACCGTGACTGGACGACCCTCTTTTTAATAGCAGTGTATGTAGGAGGGCTGGGTAGAGTCTGTGTAAGGCATTTTGTGTGGGTATGTCAAAGAATTTCCTATAAATGACCAACATCTCATGAAGGTAAGTCCACATTGTACATTTTAATGCTGCAACTACTTGCTTTTATTATCAATAAACACTATTTACTTTCTTGAATAATCGTACATAAAGACAAATGTCTATACAGTTTCTAGCATGATGTCTAAATGTCCTGTTTTGACAGTCCAAAATCCAGTGATAATCAGTTTAATATGATTTAAAAGAGAAAAGCAGGAGTTATCCATATTTGCTGCCTGAAAAAAGCATTTTCTGACATTTTTGAATGAAAAATGTAACAATTAATCCGTTGTGCACATAACATTGGGATTACTTTTTATGCTGATCAACTCATTTATAAATTGCAAGATTAAATTGATCACAGTGTGTTTTAGTGTTACTAGTTTCCGTGTGCGAAAAGCTCATAAAAGCAGTTCGAGGTAGAGCTGCAGTAGCATTGCTGTCCATTACCAGCAGATACTGTGCAGGGTTGTTTTTTATGGACACACGAGAGAGGAATTATGTGGTTGTCCGAACAATTTTTTTTCCTGAAACTCTGGTTCTGGGAAACAGTGGTGACTCGGTGCCACTGGAAGAATAACTGCTCAGCACAAGCATTAATTCTACACACACACACACACACTTTGTTTAAGAATGTATACAGACTGTGAACACAGACATTTCCTTTAAAGCCACAGTTTTTGCTACATAAGCAGAAACGTGCTGTGACCTGGGAAACGGCCTGTGTCCTGTCTCTGTTTTTCCAATCGTGTTGTTCTGAACAAATTGTTGGGTTCCTCTGGGTTTGAATTGCTACATGACAGCAAGTAAAGTTATTTGGCTGAAACAAATTATGTTTCTGTTTAGAGCTTAATGATATACAGTAGGCTACATTTGAAGCTAACACTGGCTAGCTTGGCAGAATGTCTGTAAACAACTACATATATTTTTCACACATAAAGCTGCAGTGACTGTTTTGTTAATCTTTAATTCTTTTCTATGCATATAGCAGGCTGTTTTCAATTATTGATATGTCCTGATTTTCTCTGTAGCCTATATCAAATCAATGCTTTACGTTTTTGGAAGACATTTAGATACTGCTATCATGGACATTCTATAGACCAGATATTTAATCATTGAATCTATAAAATATTAACCAGATGAATTGATACTGAAAACATGTATTATAGTTGCAGCCCTACACAAACATATCTATCTCCAAATACAGTTTTCAAAGTTAAACAATGCTGAATTTGTAATTGTTTAAAGACTGTAAATATTTGATGAGAGGGTTTGTAAGACGAGAGCTTGTTGACCTAGCATTTTACACACACACACACACACACACACACACACACACACACACACACACACACACACACACACACAATTGAAAATTACAACCAAAGTGGACTTCAAGTCATCATGTTTGGATTATGGAGAAAATGTTGCAGCTATTTAGTTACAATGGGCTGGTGAGAAGTTGTCCAGGCTAAAACCAGGCTTCTTTTATTTGAAAACTATATCATCCATTAGCTGTTTTTAGCCATTTTAGCTGCATTTAAACATCTATAATTCTATTGTGTGATTGGTTGATTTGGAGAACACTTAAATGCCAGCCTTTATAATTTCAAAATACATCCAACAAACAGACTTTTCAAATATAAGCTGCCTGGTTTGTGCCTGCACATCTCATCAATAGTAAATGCTCTGTGGGTGTGATCTAGAAGTTAAGGCTGAGCATGACAAAACAAACGTTTAGGCTAAATACATCACAGAAAACCACTTCACAGGGGTCTGAAAGTGCTGAGTCCCATTAATTTAATAGGTGTGGCATATAATATATTTTTTTTTACAAACTACAACTTTATATGGGTATTAACTGAATAAGGCACTTTTCTTTAAGAGGTGCACGGACTGACTAAGTAGGAGAAGCTTCGGAGAGTCGACACAATGGACATCTATTGTGTTTTGAGGTCAACATGTGATGCTGTGTTCTTAAGGAATGCAGTTACCATGTCGAAAGCAGAGGCTGGATTCACACAGCAGGCAACAGCTGTGAATAAAACTCAAATATTCCTCTAAATTTAGGCGAAGGCTCTCCAAAAGCAGCAAATGGACAAATGGGTGCAGCTAAGGCAAAACTCCGGAACCTTCTCGCTGCAGTTGGGTCTTTGGGCTGCAGCCTAATGCCACCAGGTGACTGCGTTAAAAAGGCGTATTAATGGTGAGCAGCAGGAAACATGTGAACCTAAATTATAAAAGCCAAAAGAAGAAAATAAACATGGATTTATTACAGTTTGTGATGACAAAACAATGTGATTATTCATCCATTATCTAGTTAATATTCAAGACCGAGTATTTATACAAGCATCAGATTTTTTTGTTAATGGCTGAACCATGAAAACATTTACAAAGAGAAACTTACAAAACAAAGCTCATCAGTGCAATGCTCAATTTCCATGCCAAAACTGAGGACTTTGGCTCAATGCACACGTTTTCAAGGCATTCTTTCAACTAGCATATGGACTAATCACAAATAATCAAGTGGTTTTTAAGTGTCTAAATCCCTAAGAGCATATGCAATGGGAGGAAAAATCACAACTCCTAGCATTCAGCATGCAATAAAGGGAAAAAAAGAACATTCTTGACACCAACAAGCCGCTACGAGCAAAGATGTACTGATAAACACTCCATTTAGCCTTTCCTTAAGTTGAAGATGAACAAAAACAGGACATGGCTATGTACAGGAGGGACAAAAAGGGAACAAATTAAATCACACAGTTAGCAGCAAGCTAGTAAGAGAACATGAGCTCTAGCATGGAGCTCTGTTGCTGCAGTTCTGCACTTCATTCACAATCCTCTCATTTACACGGCACAGTCAGAAATCAGAGGTGCGATGCTCATTTGGCCAAACAAGCACTCAAACAGTCCAACATTTGTACCTCAATGCACTCTCCGCAATACTCAAGTTTATTAAACTAAGCCCAATATTCTTGCCTTTTGTTTAAAGAACATTCCCTGATTTATATCACCAAACAGCGGTCCCAGATTTCCTGCCAGGTCACTGTTCATGCTTCGAAATTCAACACAATTGAGGAATAAATAGTGAGAAGGGAGGACATTTGGGAGCAGTGTTGGGCATTACTAAAGGGAGAGAGCCTTTACATTATCCATTTACACAAAGTCACCAGTGAGAGGACGATATATTCTTGTACTGAATATAGTCTTCTACTTATAGGGAAAAAACTTCAAGCTGGACTGATCAAGGCCCTCAAATGGCAACTATCTATTGTATACTTCACAATAAAGGCTCTTCAGTCCAGCTGGGATACTACAGTTCTCACCAATATCAGCACAGCGATACCGTTTCTTTCTTTAAAGAAACTAATGATAACACTTGGGCCTCAAACAAGAAGAAAAGACTCACACTCTTCAACCGCTATCTTTAAGTCTCCCAGGACATTAAAGGCACTTCACTGCTATCACTGTCCACATCAACAAGGTGCATGCCATTTTCCTTATCTCCCTGTTCTCTATATTACACATTATCTAAAACAAAATATTTATTTCTATTTCTGAAATATTCTACAATCTTTCATTAGGACCCACAGGCCCTCTTTGACTTCCCCAAAGAAGCAGGGGGCAAAATGCCAGCTGACGTTAAGAGTGGGTACGTTTTGATGTCGGTGAAGTTCAGAAATAACAGTTGGGAGATTAAAGGATGGGAAATTAACTTAATACAGGATTTATTGCATTGAGCTGCTCTAGTGGCAGTTGATTTTTGTAGTTTTTTACAACTATTATAGGGAACGTTTTCCCTTAGGGACCTCGACAGCAGAAGACGCACAGCACTCCTAAAAGCCAAGGGAGACACCCAGAATAAGACTTTTGACCAGAGGGATCACCATTAGTTTTTTTGGTCTGACATCAGATAATTTAGTATTGCTTTTATTCCCTCGTGCGTAACCCCCACCACTTTGACATCATCTACAAACACATAATACAGCTTGGGGGAAGAGGGAACCTGCCTACGATTCAACAGGCTAAAAGCAATACTGAATCATCACAGTCGTCACGTTTAAAGAATAGCTGTGAACTCAAACAGTGTTTCCAAATCCAAAAAAAAGGATAATACTAGCAGTTTGCAGCCGTCTTACTCCCAACAGGAAAGCTACACTGTGTACATGACTAATTCTCTCTTGTTTACTTGAGAGAATAACATGAACCGCCTCACTCTGTTGGGAAATGGCGTGCACAGAATGACTAATGGCATGATGGAGGTGGGAGTAACCACCCGATGATTGAGGCTCAAGAAGCCATATTTCTTCAGCGTTGTATAGTTAAAATAATACATACAGGCCTTGGTGTGTGTGGCTTGATACATACTATAACAGCAGAGCTAATGCAGGCCTATATCAAAAGTGGCACAAACATCAAAGATCTAGAAAAAACCTGCTAGAAAACACTGTTTGAGTTCCCCGTGATGAGTGCGTGCCGAGTGGGGAGTCCTCTCTGGAAGGTTCTGGTTAGTGATGGGGATTGGTCATGTGACGTGGATCAAAACGAGCGGCTGCTTCAAAGGGTGTGGTAGTTGCGGTCCTTGGACTTGCAGAACTTGTAGAGGAAGAAGATGACGGCCTGCAGACCCAGGACCAGCACTATTCCACCGATGAAGCTCGCAGCGTCGAAGGTGTTATGGTGAGGCTCAGGAGAAGGGGCGACCTTAGTGGTGGCCGGGGCGGTGCCAGCTGTTATAAAAGACGAGAAATGGAGAGTTAATGCATCTTTCAGGACCGATTTAGGAAATAGTCTCGCTCTGTCACAATGTCAGACTTACTTGTATTAGAGGGGGAAGCCGTGGTGATGTTTACACTATGAGTCGTGATGACAGGGGGAACACTGGTGGCATTGGCTGGTGTAAGGTTACAGTGAGAACACATCCATTAGTCTTTACACGATTTCCTTTAAAAGCTATATGATTTATTTGAAGTTGTAATCCCTAAGAATTTGGTCTGGGTTCATTTGCACTCACGGTATCAGTAAGTACGGTTCAATACCAACGATTTCTTGAGTCTTTGTCAGGAGTGCAAACGAGTAAAAGTGTGTCTAAAGTGCAGCCAAACAAACGTGGTTCTGATAAAGGGATAAGTCAATAATAAATTCAACCACTATTTGATTTCAAGCTGCACACAGCTGAGTGTTTCTTTCTCAGCAGGGCACAGTAAAGCTTGTTGCCTCGCTGAGTAGTTGGAGATGTAACGCTAAAATAACTCTTCATTTAACAGCTAACGGTGACTAGTTCTGTTTTTTTCTTAGTTCTTTGCCAAAATAAAAAAATTATCCAACGATAAAAAGTGCTTGTTTTGCAGGCAGATTTATGGAACTGACTGTGACAAAAACATTGTTTCTTTTGACTGCTGCACAATAAATGCCACACTGTGTAGTACCAATTGAAGTCTTTAAATGTGACGCTGCAGTAGTAGGATACGTTGGGTTTGTTAATCTGAACAATAAACAGCCTGATATCGCTTAATTGAAGCTGAATTACACTCTGCATCACTTCCGGTCAATCCTTCGTCAATTGGCAATGTGAGTGGGGATGGTGGACTTCACCTCTAACAATGATATCTACTAACTAAACTATATAAAGACGCAATTACAGATACATTGCAAACAAATTGCATGGCTAACCAATGTAGACAGTATATAATGTCAAAAACAGGGTCTGATTTCATTTAATTCTTCAATATTACAACTTTGGTACATCTAAATAAAACTACTAAAACGACCAAATCGTATATGCTGCACAACAGAGAGTAAAGCTGACAGTAGCAGAGGTTTTTTAGGACTGGTTACCTGTGATTGGCTCAGGGGTGCTGCCGTTAGAGGAGGCGGTGGTGACAACAGGGGGAGTGGGGGCTGAAGTGGAAGGAAGGGCTGGAGGGGGGGTAGGGGCTGGACAAGGAACCAACACCAAGACAGGGTGAAAGGGGGAAAGCAATAGACACCGCACAAAAAAACAATGGCCAGAAATACACAGTGCTGCCTCATCGTTTCTCCTGGATGGGTGAAATTATTTGTTTCACTTTGCCAAGTTTTGCCAACAAACATGACATAGACAAAGTGCTTAGACTGGCCATTAACACCTCAGAGCTAAACCCAAAGAGAATCTGCTGATTATTAGTATTGTTATTATTTAAATACAAATATGCCGTCTGCAGATTCTCTGAGGACCGAAAAGAAGATGTTAGTATAAAATGTTAATATAAAATGTTAATATCCCAATCTGATATTTGATAGAAACACTACCCTGTTGGACTTACCTGAGCATGTAGCATTAGAGCAGGTCTCGTTTTTTGTCAGAAGAGTCATGTTGCGACAGCCGACAATTGCTGAAAGACAAAAAGTATCATAAATGAAATGCTTTATGTGAATTAATGTGCCCAAAGTAGATGTCAGTTTCCTTTGTTGGCAAGAGTTATAGCACTTCAATCCTGAGCCTTTCATTTTCAGCTGATATAGAGTCATTATTGTTTTACAGCTCATAAAGAAGTGAAATGACAAGCATCAGTGCGTGTGTACAAAACATAAACACAGCCTCCATCTCAAGGTTTTTCCTCTCTAACCCTCTGTGTACACAGCATAGTCAAATACTCAAAGAAATGACATTTTAGATGTAAAAAGCTGTTTTTTCTATGGATTAGTTATTACGTTTTACCACACCAGCAGTGTATCTGGCAACACAAGAGCATGACTCAACAAAATAAAACGTGAAAATCTTTATACTTATATCTCATTGTCACTGGAGATAAAAAGAAAGTAACTTCAAACCAAGGGTGGGAAAGGGATTCAGATAATATACTTAAAAGTGGCAATGCTATAATGGAAAAAAAAGCTTCTTCAAAAGTCCTGTACTGAAAATACATGTAGGTACAGAAGAAATATATAATATAAATATAATATAAGCATTCAACTACAAGGACTGGTTATGCAACAAGAAGAGGCCCTGTCAGAGTTTTACTATAGTATTAATGTATAAACATGTGAGAAGAGGCATTTTAATGTGACCTCATTTTAACACATTCATGTGCAGAACTTCATTAAATGTACTATTATTATTCCAGTACTATTAAAGAGTGAAAACATCATTTGTTTTATTTTTGTCTCAAAGTTTGAATATCTGGGTGTATTCTCTTTGTTCAAATCAGATTACTGATTAAGTATGAGAGAAGGGACTTTGACCCCGCTGTGAAGCCTTGCCTGTCCTCAAAACTTTACAAAAACACAAGATCCAGACGAAACATCATAGTTACTTATTGTTTTACCTATGAAACACAATTGTACTTATTTACAGACATGATTAATGAATATTATAATCCATAATTGGAGAAAAAAACGAGGAAAACATTTATTAGTTTTCATTTCTTTAACTTAATGGTTTAACTCAGCCCTTGTCACAGACAGGAAAGCATGAGTCATGACGGACAGCACCTTGTGACTTTAGAGTCTTTTCACACCCAGTGATGTTGTGAAACTGCCGTTGTGCTTAAGCGCAGGCAACCACACATAACCTCTGATCAGGAATTGCCTTGTACAGAAAGTGAATGGATAAGTTGTTGTAAAATTATTTTAAATATCCTTCTTGCCAAACTTCTCACAGGGTTTTTCAGACCATGTTTAAGAGAAAGCAGACATTTTTGAATTCTAATGAATATATTATGTATCAGAGCTTAAATTATTGTTTCAATGTCAACAGAAGAATAAATTGCCTTAACATATGTATACAATTATGTTTCAAGCAACAAGGCCAAAACTGTTAGTTCTTAAATGTAATGACTTGATGCTTTTATTTGTCAAACATGACGGTACATTGAATATCTTTGAGTTTGATTGAAATTGCTTATTTTTCTCACCTTGAGCTGTGTGAACTTGTAATGATTGGATTTTTAAATGTATACTAAACTATGCAATACCTCTGATGTGCAATAATGTGAATTCAACTGTCAGTCCGTCTACTTATCATATTTAGCTTTTTATGGTTTGCTTCTTTAATTTGCCAAATCACCATTTTGGTGAGACTAATCAATTATGATCTTATTTAGGATGATCTAGCTTACTGGAAATCGCTACAGTAATGAAAATACATTCACAGTATACAAACATCAAGCATGGCCACAATTTTCCATCACTTGTATCGGTCCTCTTTTTGGAACAAGGGAACAAGATAATAACTAAGCGTTTCAAATGATAGGGAAGTGGGAAACATATAAAGCTTTAATAACTGTTTATTACAGTGACAGGGGAGGCTGTTAAAGACCTTTGACCCCATCTTTGTGTAGATTGAAATGGGACTAATGGCTCTTGATTTCCTTATACGAGCACACAGGAACATCATAAAGGGAACTGTGTACTAAATGTGGGACACCTGCTGCTGTAAAACATGTTGCTCCACCTTCCTTGCTTGTAATACAATAATCCACAGCAACCATCCAACCCGACGACTCCCGCCAGATGGCTGACCATAAATTACAGTAAGGCTGCTGCCATTGTTCAAAGCATCTTTTGGCTTTATCCAAATGGGGTGAAAAATAACTCGAAGCCTGCGTTACATTCTCCACAGCTCCCAGAGCTTCTTTCTGTATCAGGTTCATTACTGTGGGCACTAGCATTTGAAATAAGCTTCTATTAAAAGGCTTTCATGTCATAACTATTAGTTTGTCAATTTGTCTCTTGGTTCAATTATTGAGGATGGGTCTTTTTCGGGGCTATTCTTTCAGGTTCCTATCACTGTCACTGTGCCCTAACTTGCCTCCACTGTTTCTCTATGTACCTCCATCTTGTGTTTCCCAGAATGCTACCTAACATGATTAAGCACTTCTGTCCTGACTGACCAGGAAGTAAAGTAAGGTAAAAAAAAAAGTCAGCTTCTTCATATATCTTAAACTCAAAACTAACCAAAGCTGGAAACGTAATGACTCACTTCCTTTCATAACTGTGATTAAAGTAACATCAAGATCAAGTCATTTCTAAAGTGTTGGCGGCATTATTTTATAGACACATCGATCTATGTAAGTCAGGACATGTGGGAGGAGGGTTTTCAACCTCCAGTGTGTTAGAGCGCTGTTATCTCGCAGGCAGCTGTGAAAGGTGAGGCCGACTCTCACCCTTTTTTGATATAGTGACGTCTTCCTCACCACGAGGCCCAGTCACAACTAGATCAAGCTAGAGGTGTGAGTGAAAGCCTCAGAAAGAGCTTCCTTGTTAAGAGCACCAGCTTTGTCACAAATGACAGCCTGTACTTAGAGACGCTACAGAGCATGTACACGTGTAACGCTTGTAAGCACTGGACTGCAGGGAAATGCACGTCCACAAATTCCCTAAAGCCAAAATAAATCTGGTAATGACAACGTGGAAGCTCGCTGCTGCAGTGTGGTCATGCTGCGCTTCAGCAGAGCCATCTTGACTGGACAAAGCTGACCTTTCCACATTTTGCTGAGTTCATATGAAAAAGGGCGATCCATTTTTGGGTTTGTGAAAGATTTGAGCTCTGGCTTACTTGTGTTGGGAGCAGTCAGTGTTGTTTAACAGTGTTGTTAAACAGTGTTGAGCCTGCTTTTGTAGTTGACTGTTTGTTCTGGTGTGTGACAGAGCGCTGAAGAGAGAGACATTTTCTAACATGAACAAGAGAAAAACAGCCAAACCTCTCTTTAAGTTTGAACAATGAGTCCTTTTCTGGTTTATATTACCATCAGATGATCAAGGGGGAAAAAACAATAATCAAATCTTCCTTACAAAATAAATTAAAACTTATGAAAATGACCTCAAATCTTACAAGACAAATATAACTCTTGATACACTTGTTGTTTTGTTTTTTGTATCAGGGCATGATTGTTTGCTTTTTTCTTGTGTCCGTTGTGTGTCATTGTAAACCTGTACATGTTTCTCACTTGGGAAATACGAAAGGCTTTACTACCCAGACCCTGTTGGCTCTGAGAGGATATAAATAGTGCTGCCCTCACCTGTCCTGTTCAACCACATATTGCATTATTGGGTAAAGTGTCATTGAGGGACATATATAAAACTCGAGACAAAACAAAAGAAGGGTGTGGGATCCTCTAACGTTCCTGGAAAGAATCAAAGCTACTCATTGGCAAAGTTGTCTAACAGGTCAACTCCCATGAGACGTAAAAAGACTTGTTCTTGCCTTACTAATGTCAACTGTTGCTGGAGAAAAGCTGGACCAACAAGTAATAAAGTTACAACAGACAGGGTATCTTATTGTTTGAGATTAATAACAACTGAAATGTGTGACAAGAACACCGCGCACTCCAGTCCTGAACTGCACCCGAGGCATAAATGATGAGAACAGCGAGGCACATGACACTAATCTCTATCCTATCTGCACACTCTTTCCTCTAACTGAGGCCGTTATCCTCTCCTTCCTTCTGTCCCCCAGCGTGAGGATATTGCAGGCTTCCTGACACACATCCTCTCTCTTCCTCTCCTGTTCATCTTCTTCACAATAACCAGAGACCTGTGTGTGCCTGCTGACACACACTGAACTCAGGCCAATATTAGAGAACAGCTCTCAAGGCCGGTAAAGTCAATAACAAACAAAGAAAAAGTGTACGTGCAAGGTTCAGATTTTGGTCAGAAGTCTACCCGTTTAATTATCGCAAAACTCAAGCAATAACCACAAAGGGTTTATCTCACAGTTTAATTAATATCTGCTGAATGAATCAGCGGGACAAACGTTCGATTTTAATATAGAAGATTGTTTGACTGATTTCTGCTTTACTTATAACACCCTTAACCTGATTCCCTAACACTGATAACAGCACGAATAAACAACCAGCTCATCTCCTCTCATACTAAAAACTCAACCCATAAGAGAAGTACGCAGTTGCAGTGAGTGAAAAACCGTTGGTTGATTTAGGAAACAACTTGTCATGTGGTTTTGATATGGAAACTCTGTGTTAATGAATGATGCATATTACTAAATCACAAACAGCAGACTTCCAAATGAGAAAAAATACCACTGCAGCATATTCCTCCACATCCTGAACTCTGCAGAAGTCAGAAAGATTTCTCATACTGTGGGCTCCCATGTTTGGACATTTTAATTAACATAATGACATTACTGCACCGGTGACACAGAGACGAAGGCGAGAGAAGGTAAAAGCACAATCAAAGTGAGACGTAAAATGTCTAAAAGAAATATATCTAGCTTAGTATTGTTGAAAGTCTCGAGGCACCACATGATTCAATGCTGATCCAAAGGGCTATGACGAGGTGAAAAAACGGTTATCCATACCTTTTGATCCATAAACATATTCTTTGCCCTATATCACAACTGGCTACTGAATTTACTTGCATTATCTGTATTTATTAAATGGTAGTAACAAGTGAAAGGTTACATATGCCAACATAATTCCTAGCGGTGCAATACACCAACAACAAGATAAACAAAAGTGTTCCTGTAGCAGAACCACTTTAGTAAATAAGGGAAGACTTCAGCATGATCTGAAGCACTTCATAGCATAAAAGCTAAAAGAAACTCAAGAAAAAGCCTTAGCTCAGAATGTAAATATAAGACACATGTTTATATCCTTTAAGTTTCACCATAGCATTAGTTCAGTTATAAGGAAAGTAGCAGTCTAGTCTCACATAATTGAAACATGAGGACGAGAATTGGGTTTCAAATTCCGATTATTGAACCTGCATCGAGACATAATCTTCCTAGAGAGTATTGTGATGCATGGATTCCTTTACCTATACATTTGTCTCCCCTTCCATTTAAATCAGCTACTAGCTACTACTGACGTTATTGTGCTGATTAAAAGTGTGTCTATGCAAATCACTTACAGAATGTTGCCTTAACTAGATCCTCCCCCTTAAGAGCTGTCTGCCGGGAATGTACTTCTAAAACCAGCCCGTCCTGATCAGTGTGTTGTTGGTGTTCCCAGACGATTACGATACAGATTGGGCTATAGGGAAATTGGCATCACATTATCTAAAAGTCAGCATCCACTGCTTATCCTTCTCTCCATACCGTAGCAGTCATGTGTCGAATCAGTTCAGCTGTCTGGACCACTTAGGATACACAAAGACAAACCTGTGCCTCTCCCTCCACAAGCCCACACACATGTATGACAGATACTCACGTGGTGTTGTGCAGTTGACCCACTGGCACTCACTGCTACTGCTTCCACACAGAGCACAGGACAGGGCGGGACAGTCATCTGAAAAGAAGAAGTCACAAATCAAACATAGTTGAGGTATATTTTAATAACTTCCTGCAGGTGATGAAAATGATACTGTTGCTATCCAGATGTCTCACTCACAATAACAACACACATTTTAGCACAGACACACAGCATGGTTTTACATTGTTATTAATCTGTCTGCATTTCACATATTTATTTATTACAACAATAAGAAGTATTTTATCCGTACAGTATTTCTACATTCTTAATCTTAGTCTATTTGACATATTTATATTTTACTTCCCACACATTTACCTGTATATTGGTCACCATTTGATTATATTTACATATATTTCTGTTCGGTTCTTCTTGCACTATTTTGTATTGTTTTATTGTTCATGTCTTATATATATATTTATGTTGCATTGGTGAAGGAGCCTGGGACTTGACATTTCCATTGCCATAACTACACTGTAGTTACTGTGCATATTAAAATAATACCTTTTAATCTTAAATGTAATGTTTGAATTCTAAAAAGTGACAGAATAGAGATTCAAAATGTTACATAACAAGCTGATCTGGCTCCTGATCAACTGGATCTGACAACAAGGGTTACACACGAATATCTGCTATGGCTCCTCTTGTCATGCACATCATGTGAGAAATATTACTGTAACATAATTTTACATTTAATTTCGGGTCTATAGCTTGCTAGCAGGCTAAAGCGTTAGCTGGACAACTTGAGCGTAGACATTATACTGTCAAGTTGCCAAAAGGATCATTTTGTACATTTCATTTTAGAAAGAAAATAAATAAAGGACGGGAGACAGCTGTCAAACTCAGAGCTGAAACATCTAATAGTGCACTGTAATAACCAGAAATGGAGGCATGAAGACGGATACAATCAGTTCTCTGGTGCATGTCTTCATCGAGCTGGTTAGCCTTTTAGCTCAAACTTACCTGCGGCTGCTGCGCCAATCAGAGCCACGACTACAGTGAAAAACACCACCTTCAGGTACATGACTGCGGCCGGTTTAATCCTCTTTATACTCCAAGAAGATACAAATGTGTGCTGAAAAACGTTGAGAATGAGACTCCAGCGATTTCACAGCTTCCTTGCCGTCTTCTTGCGTTTCTGGTCGCTACTGCTGTTGCTTGCTGCTCGCTGCCTCGCTACTTCCTACTTGACAGGTCATGTGGCACTTTTGGCTGGGAGGAGTGATTAAAAAAAAAAACGAGCGTATGTGAAGAAATACGTTAAAGGCAAGAAGGAGAGGAGTTTCTTATCATTAATCAAACAGCTGTCACTCTTTTTAGGCAGTGGTGGAAAAGTATTACGATTATTTACTTGAGTAAAAGTACTAAAACCACACTGTGTAGGCCTATATACCTATGCTATATACTCAATTTCAGGTAAAAGTACTGCATCAAGAATGGTACTTATGAACTATTTAAGTATGTTTAAGATAATGTACTAAAAGTATTAGGAGTAAAAGTACTCATTGCAATATTTAAATATGTTTGAATATTTAAAAGCAGAAGTTATAATATAATAAACAAAGAAAAACCCCAATAAATCATACATCAGAAATCCCATCTCTGACATTCCTGGCTCCTACACATGCACACTACTGAGTTTTAGGTAGAAGCAAAACCCAACCCAACACAATTTTTGACGCTAATACACATTTATATCTGACTCTTGAGGGCTCTGAAGTGAAGTGTACTTCTTGCGCCAAATCATCGATCAAAACCAATCAAAGTTTATTTACGCTTTACAGTTTCAACAGACAAAGAAATTAATAAATATATAAATGTAAGTAGAAATAAATGTATAAATACAATAAAGATATATAGTGTGTGTTTTTTTATTTATACATTTATTTATTTCAATATTTATTTATTTTCTCTTGTATTTTTTTATTCCTGTATTTATTTCTGTTTTTATTCCAGTATTTATTCCTGTTTTTATTCCTGTATTTATTCCTGTTTTTATTCCTCAATTATGCATTTTTTTTTACTTATGTCATGTTCTGTCCTCCATACCTGTGTGCTAGTTGTGTGCATAAAAGTACAAATCACACGACAGCAAGACCTATAGTTGGGCATTTTAAAAACACATTGGTGGTCCAGGTCTATGCATTGGTTTTTCATGCAGGTGCTCGAGGTTCAACACCCAGGGGAGGGACATCTTTTGTCTTCTGCTATGCTGATGTTAAATCTGGAGAAATTGTCCCCACCACTTTTTCTGACAAAGTGTCTATGCCTGAATATAATGTTCGATAATCTCATCTATACTAAATAATCATATTTAAATCATAAGTCGCATGTTACATGTATCTCAGGTTTATTTTATTCCATGAATAACATTGATAAAAAATGTAAGCACTTGACTTAAAACTTAAACACTCCACAGTCTGTAACTTTACATTCATATTTGGGTCTTTCATTGCAGGTCACAGCTTCTTCTAATCTCCTCAGGACGTCGACACCCTCAACCACGTGACTAGAATAGAAAACCAAGACATTAGGCTCCAACTAATCAGAATTGAGATTATGCAGGATTGAGAAATAAAATAGGTGTAATACAAACCCAAAGGCAACATAGGTCCTGTCCATCCAGGGCGTTGGCTGCAGGGTGATGTAGAACTGGGATCCATTGCTGTGGGGACCCTTATTGGCCATTCCTAGAGTGCCACGTTTAGTATGGGACACAGCAAAGCTCTCATCTAAATGGAGAAGATGACACATGTTCAGCTGAGTTTTTTTTATACAGTACAAGTAAATCCACTAACACACACACATTCATTGTAATACCGTAGGTGTTTTTACCTTCAAACGCTGGTCCATAGATTGACTCCCCTCCATCACCTTTCCTCACTGGATTAATATCTACGTTATATAAAGATACAGCTTGCTCTTTTTGAATAGACCAAAGACATTTTTACAAAAACCACTTCCTCAATTTCACATGATTTCCTAACAACTTCAGGTGCTGGTATTGTGTAATTAAGGGATGGGCTATGTAATGAGTATTGAAGGAAGTTACAGGAGTTCAAAGATAGTTTCACTTCCTGTAAATAGAGTCAGATAAGTTTAAAAATCATGTGAACCAAATATAATAAAGCCTTTTCAAGCAGAAAAAAATAATCATTATGAACATGAACACAATCCAGGAAGTTCAATTCCAGTTCAATTACTAATAATTTATGGATATATTTTCCATTTCAAGTGGCATGTATTTCAAATTAACTGCCCTGATATTGAAGTTGGATGGATTATTATGTATTTCTATTTTCCTTGTTATTATACCCTCATATTTGTCTTGATATGTGAAAGGTGTAGCTTATAAATAGCTATTATAATGTTGTATTTTTAATTGTCTGGTTTTTAATATTTATTTAATTCAATATTTTTTAACTGCTTTTTTCCTTTGCTTTTTCACTCTAAAGCCACTGTAAGAACAGAATTTCCTGGTGTGACATCATACAGTCATTTCCAATCTTATCGTATCTTATTTAAAATTGTGACATTGATAATGTGGACCGTACCTCCACCTTGCACCCAGCCGTTTGGCACCACACGATGAAACAGGGAACCCTTGTAGCAAAGTGGGAGGCCACTTTCTGATCCGCCTCGCTCTCCTGTGCACAGAGCCTCGAAGTTCTTTGATGTCTTTGGACAAATATCTGAGAACAGCTGAGGAGAGGGAGGACAATGCACCTCGTAAAACATGCTGCCATTCTGTGATGTCATTTAGTTTTGTATACCAACCATTTAAAGAATATTACAATATACAAAAGTCAGGGATTTAAGATGACACAGGCGTTTTGTATGAGCATTGTGAAACAACATACATTTTTGCCTCACCTCAAACAATAACCTCCCTACTGCCTCTCCTGCTATCTCAATTTCCATGAAGACAAACTGATGCTATAATCAAAAGAAAGAGAGATTTATTATTTTCATTTAGATGATTTAAGGTTGAACAAATATAATGAATATGATTTGGACAGGGCACTCTTCATTAATAAGAGCAGCTAATGACTAACTGAAGCCTAATAGTTTTCAAAGATGACTTCATGTACACATAACATCACTTTTCATAAATGTTCCTATAACCTATATAACATTTAAATATATGTTTTTGTGACTGTGTTTTTGACTTGCCCCAGTGTTTCGAAGGTGTTTGTTGTAGTAGTCCTCAGTGAGAGCCATATAGAAAGCCTGTGGCCGAGTGAAAGAAAAATTCCACTCATTCTTGGCCCAGCGGGTGAGGTCCTTCTCATTACCCAGGAGAAGGCCGTTCAGAAAGCACATCAGGCTGCTGGAGTACTGCCACACGTCACCACGCAGCTCCTTGAATCACAAGTGTTAAACAACAGATGTGTGGTTATGAATCAGCTATTCAGAAAAGCCATGACGTCAAACTACAGCAGTTGTGTGTGTTTAGCTGTGGCATCACAACCCTCAGCAAGCTGCTGCAGCTCATCTACAACAATGGTGGAAGATAACATGTATATTTACCCAAGTGCTGTACAATAATCATGTACTTGTACTTTACTTAAGTATTTTTCCATTTCAATTTTAGGTTACATTACACTTTTACTATCATTGTAGAGCATTGTTCTACTTTTCTGTTGATTTGATTAATTTGCATTTCAAACATATAATCAGAGGACTTACCCTTTTCTTTTGACACAGATATGTGTGCCAGTCTAATTCAAGGAGTGATTTAATTTTCGGATCCAGAAACTTCTCAGGAAACTTCTGTTTTAGTCCCTGTTGTTCATAGTCAAAGGATACAATTGTAAAATTGAGGGAAAACACATGTTACATAAAACTGTAAGAAATAAAAAGCTTTACCTCGACAATACTTTTGGCAACATGGAAACTGCGATCTTTAATCAAGCCAACAATTTCTATGTGTAGTTTAGAGTCCATGGTTTAAAATAAAAACAGTCCTAAAAATCCTGAGCCTGGCCTGTAAACAAAAGCCCCGTATCCATAGCAACAAGCGCTTGAATATGACGTTCGTGTTGAACAAGTAAGGCGTTGTTCGACTTCGTGAGACTGTTCCTTTTCTTTCCACCTTGTTTTCTAAATAATCGAGTTCATTGAAACAATGAATGACATACGTATTAAATAAAACGCTTGCTGATGACATGTATTTAATTTAACCGTTGAATGTACTTTTTTTCACGTAGTGACAATTCAAAAAGCAACAAGGCAGCGTGATATAAGGATGTTCAATGGTTTGGGACGCGGCCCAACGGCGCCACTGTTTGAAATCTCCGGGTCTTTGTGGTCGTGTGTTGTGTGGTTTAACATTTACGTTTTCTACCTTTACCCTGCTATTAAATTAGCTATAAACGAATGTGTTGGTAGTTATGGGTGTTCACGAATTATGGTCCATCGTCGAGCCGGTCCGTGAGTCTGTGCCTCTGTACAGCTTGAGCGGAAAAACGCTGGCTGTTGACCTGAGTTTATGGGTGTGCGAGGCCCAGCATGTCCAAGCGATGATGGGGAGAGTTACCAAACCCCACCTGAGGTAAGTGTCACATATATGTGGATTACAGGGGCTCAAAGTGTCCCCCCCCCCTCTGGCTTTTGCCTACAAAATGTCACTCAACGTACCAACCAGGAAGAGACTCAAAATGACCACAAAAACTCAAAAAAACGACAACAAAGTGCAGGATATAGTGCCGCGCACATATATGATGGTTACTGATGTCGGTGCGGAGTGATATGCAGTTTGTGTCGATGCTGACCATGGATGTATAAGACGCCTTGAGGCATGCACTTATTATTACCATGGCTGGATGTGCATTAAGTCAATAGCAGTAGTTTCATCTGAAGTTAAAGCACAGAACGGATCCTTCATTACTCTCCAAGTCATCCGGTCAGTTACCTAACATATACGGCTATTACACAAAGAGGCACCAACAAAAACGCTACAAAGAGGTGCAAAACAGTGACATAAAACCACTGCAAGGAACACACAACAACATTAAAAACACAGCCAAGTATCTATCAAGGCTGTGTGACTGGCTAACACCAGCTAACCAGTTAGTTTTAGTTTAAATTCTTATAACGTTAGTTTTAATTTCTTATATTTAAAAACCTATTTTTTTGTCTCTTCTGTGTCCAGGAATTTATTTTTCAGGGTGTCATCTCTCACGCTTATGGGGGTAAAGCTTGTCTTTGTGATGGAAGGAGAAGCCCCTAAAATCAAAGCAGAAACGATGAGCAAGAGGACAGAACAGAGATTTGGAGGATTGAAAAAGGCTTCTGCCCCTAAGACTACATCTAACACCAGCAGAGGGCGCTTTAATGCTGTACTCAGAGAGGTTGGTTGTTCCTCCACTCACATGTATCTTAATCATAATCACTTTTGATAAATAAATGTAGTTTATATGTGATTTTATCATTCTCTAACACTTGCAGTGTGCAGCCATGTTGGACTATTTGGGTGTGCCCTGGGTGACGGCTGCAGGCGAGGCTGAGGCCATGTGTGCCTACCTGGACTCAGAGGGCCTGGTGGACGGCTGCATCACTAATGATGGAGACGCCTTCTTGTATGGAGCCCGGACTGTCTACAGGAACTTTAATTTGAACAGTAAAGTATGTTTGTTAAAGTTAATCTCCATCATCTGCAGTGTGTTACATCTGGAGGACCATAACCTCATACTTACTTACATTTTAATTGTACACAGCTACTTTGCAAAGGATATTGAAGCTGTTGTTCGAAGGTTAAATTGTTACATAATGTTGTGGTTACTTGTTGAATTCATTAAGCATTTAAATATTAATCAGTATTGAAAATGACTTTTGCTGCAGAACTACAACTTGTATTTTAACTAGCCAGTATTTTTGCATTTTTGCTTCCCATGTATCACTACTGTATTTTACTCTAATGATGCAATTAAATATGCATAATACTGTTTCTCACTTTCCCTTCCAGGACCCTCAGGTGGACTGTTACAAGACCTCCAGAGTACACACAGACTTAAATATCTCCAGAGAGAATCTAGTTGGTCTGGCCGTCTTTCTTGGATGTGATTATATTCCTAAGGTAGGGAGAACATGTTACTGTACATTTCCACTATCAAAATCACCAATCTGAAGATATGTTCACTATACATTGTCATTATTCATAAAGGGCATACCAGGTGTTGGAAGAGAGCAATCACTGAAGCTTATCCAGATGCTGAAAGGACAAACTATTCTGCAGAGGTGGGAAACACAGATTATTAAAAGCTCATATTTTTATATCACAGTGATAGTGCCCAACTGTTCAAAATGCAGTCACAAGTCTTACAGGTGTGATGTTGAGATCTAAATGAAAGCTTAGTTTAAAAATGAATGTGGACTGAGCAAGGGTGCAGGAAGAAGAGTAGGAAGTAAGAAATGGGCCCACCCTACTTTACCACCCTGGCCCAATTTGGCATGACAGCTGTTGTATCTAGTTTTCTGACTTTTGATTGCAGATAAGCATTCTTATCCTTACTGATAACCTTTCTCTGACCTCCCCCAGGTTCACCCAGTGGAAGGAGGACAATGCGGGTGTGTCTGAGGGAGTTTTAAAGAAGGTTCCCCACTGCCACCTCTGTCGACATCCTGGTGAGTGGTGCCCCGCTTTGAACTCTGACCCCAGTTTGCGATGCTGATAAGAGGCGGAAAGATCAGGGGGGGGTTGTCCCTGACATCACATGTCTCACACATTAAAAGCCATTAAACCTGTCATGTTAAAACATACACGTATGTGAGAGATGGGTTGCTCTGAATATGCTTTTGACTTTACAGAAGTTGTAGTAGTGTGTTAGATTTTCAAGTTGTTGTCGTCTTCTCCTACTTTTGTATTTGATCAAGTTTTAATTCAGATTGATCTTTTCCAGGCTCAGCGAAGGCACATGAACGTAAAGGCTGTGTGCTCTGTGATAGTAAACATTTCTGTCAGCCTCAGGACTTTGACTACCAGTGTCCCTGTGACTGGCACCGCTTCGAAGAGACCCGGCAGGCCGTGTCTCTTGAGGCAAACATCAGGAAGTATGTGACTTTTTTTTAAAATAATTGCATGCAGGACATTTACTAAAATGAAGGTCAAGACTAGCAGCTTTTTAGTCAATAGCCATCCTTAATCTTAGGATGTGGAATAGCTCTTAATGCTCCAAAAGCATTGATTAGTTATAATTTGTTTATCATCAGAAATATAATCGGCAAGCATTTAGCTATATTCCTATTTATCAAGAAGTCAAAATGGCAAAAGATATGGGTTTGCAGAAAATAAAAATAAAACAAATAATATTTTGTTATTATTTAATGAGAGTGAGCTTTATCTCTTGGGTTTTGGTTGGACAAAACAACACTCCGACTTTGGAAAGTTGTAATGGGTGTTTTTTAAAGAGTGATTTTCTTCCAAGTTGTGTGTAATCTTTTCATTTTGTATTTTATTTCTTTTTTAGGAAAACACTGGCAAGCCAACTGTTCCCTTTTACAGAGGTACAGCCATTTTTCACAGTAGTATCATAATGAACAGTATATGTTTGGTTTTTAATACTTGAATAACATTTTGCAGATCATTAAAGAGTTCCTGATTTCCAAGGACAAGCCTGTGTCCCAGTTCAAGAGGAGACAGCCAAACCTGATGCTGATACAGGTTGGTTTTAATAACGCGTTAACATTTGTATCTGTTTTAAGTGAGTTGCATGTTTAAGTGAGTTTTTTTTCCAGAAATTTGCCTATGACAAGATGGAGTGGCCAAAGCACTACACCAGTGAAAAGGCGTTAGTCTTGATGACCTACTCAGAGTTGATGAACAGAAAGTATGGAAGAGAAATGTCTTCCCAAATCAAGCCCCTAAGGTAGACCTACATTCAATTTCAATTTTTTATTTAACAAAAACAAATATGTAGCTTAAGTGGCATTGTCATAATAAAAGGTTATTCAGCAGATGCATAATCCACAATTTATTTTTTATACAACAGAATTTTGAAACCAAGGGTGAGGAATGCCGTCGCTTGCTTTGAGATCATCTGGAGAACACCAGGTGAGTTATATTCTTATTCCTTGCATGCTTTAATTTGTTATATTACAAATGTGAGAAGAAAAGCGACATCTAGTTAAGAAAACATCCTCTGGGCTGAGTGACGGGACTGCTGCAGCGCGAGGTGGAGGTTGGGCAGCGAGGGGCTCGTCCCCGGGTCGTCTGTTAGTGCCTTGCTGTGAGGTTGGGTTCAGAGGTGGCAGATCACTCACAAGGCCACGAGGTGCTAAACGGGCTTCCTCCCCAGCTAGGAAATGTGTCATATCAAAGTCCACTTCACTAACAAGACCAGCCTAAGACACTCGCAATAAATTCATTCAGAATGTGGTTTCCTCTGTCATTTAAAAGAAGTATTTCTCAGAAAACCGATAAGTACATCATGCGTATAAATACCATAAATCGCTGGATATTCTAAATTAGACCTATCTGAAATCATTGATTTAAAAAGTGACTTACAGTTAAATGACTGTTGGTGTGAACTGCAGTCCGCTGGTTCAATATCCCCGCTCATCCTGTCATGTAGCTGAATTGGGGGGAAATGTTTATTTGTGATGCATGTACATTTAGAGAACACTTTATCTAAAAAGTAAAATAAATAATAATATCACTTCACTCATACACATAGTTCTAACACTTATATATTAAGTGTTTCTTATATGTTGCAAAATCCCTCAAGTAATATTGTTGCCATTTATATAAAACATGTGGCTGTATTTGCTATACTGTATTATAAAACTCTTGTATACCCATTATCTTACCGTTACCTGAACTTTTATTAACCTTTTTCTAACATTCAAGTAAATGGAATATTAGTTAAAATGTTAGTTTTTGTTCTGCTGGTTTTGTTTGTTTTGTTGACATTTGAGGGTTTCACTTTTGACTAGCAAGACTAGTCTTATTGAAAGCTATTTGGACCTGAC